ATCATTACTGTTTCATTAGAAACACCGACGCAGCTCACACTAGTTTCTAGCTAGTTATATCTTTTTATTATAGTTATAGTGATGCACTTACAAAATGATTGTGTTGAAGCTGTTCAGCAAGGTTGGTCCACACGTCATCGTCATAATTGACCCGGTAAAAACCAGTCAGGTCCATGTTTGCCTTGATCCAGCCATTGCCAGCCCATTCTATGTCGACTAAAAACACAGAGAAGATAAAAGCTTTAATGTTATATATTTGTGAAGGATAAAGAAAACCTTTCATCCATCCATCCATCCATCCATCCATCCATCCATCCATCCATCCATCCATCCATCCATCCATCCGTCCGTCCGTCCATTTCAGTTTTGTGTACCTTGTTTTTTGCCTTTGATCCATTTGGATTTAATTGTAGCAGGTTTATTATTAGATTTACTCGTTGACAAACTGTATGTAAAATGAATGCTCCATCTGCAAAGAAAAGAAAAAAAGATCACGATTACTGTAGTGTTTCATCGATCAAAGGAGTTTTTATGTGGTGTTCCAACATTCCATTTCTACAAAACGATTCACAGGGTGTTTCTTAGTTTTAGTTATCTTCGTCCTCAAAAGCTTCCAAGCGTGTAACGTTGATTGTTTTCCTCTTAATCAAAAACAATACAAACCCGAAAATCTGATGTAAATCAAAGAACGAGAAATGTGTAACATCTGCCTCGTAGACACATGAACGTTATAGACAACAACTTTCAAATTCCAATATATATATTACAAATGAATATAATGAATGCGGGGTCATCACTGGCGACAATTTACGTCTTATGGTGTTATATATTCACCTACAGGTGAATATAGCGCGCACGCTCCTTTGTCGATGTGTCCCGCTTGCAGAGATAAATAAAATTTGAAGAAAAAACTCTCTCTTCATTATTTATTAAATTCAATTGTGTTCAAAAAATACTAAAAAAAGACTAGCGTCTCGGTAAATACAAATCAAGTAATAATAACTATCAATTACGCAACCAAATTTTCTTAAATGAGACTCACAAAGTATCTTGTTGTTTAGCGGTAATGTCGTAGAGGAAGTGTTCTTGCGTGACTGTGTACTTGTTGGCCGCCGTGCTAGATTTCTTGATCGTCAGGACGGGATAACCAGCCTTTTTCATCCAAGGATCCATAATTTCTTTAATGTTTTCACATTCATKTACGGAACATGTCTTAAATCGAGAATAAGATCCAAAGCTTTATTACTAATGAATGTGAAACGATTATAAAAACCCAAAGTGCATCTGTGCTGAAAGAGTATGTTCAAATAAGGTCTGTATTTTGAATGTATGAACGTCTGGCGCGCTGTGATTTAATCACCTGGTGTCGTTATTTCGTTCCTTTTAACAGAGGAAATATATATTGTTGTCATTTGGGAGATTAATATTAAATGTAGAATTGATTACAGAAAAACCCGTGCATCAGTGCTGCAAGGGTATGGCTGTTCACGGTGAAGTACTAAACTTTAACAGTTATGATTCTTAATTCCTTTAACTTGCTATGTTTGATTTTTTTAATATCTCTATAAAAAAAAGAAATGCAAACGTACCATTGCCTTGCATGAACATTAAGAGACCTTAAGCACGAGGACAGCAAAACCTAGACGGCGACGCGAAGATGATGATGCGAGCACGTTTTTTTCAAAGCGCTTTTCTCGCGCGACCGTTGTCAATAATAATGCCGTTGACGTTCTCTCTAGTGCGTGAAAAAGCAACAACTCGCGAAAAAACAACGCCGTGTATTATGGCGCTTGAAGGAAAAATGGTTTTGAAACGTGATCGCGTCTTCGTTTTAACGTTGCACTAAAGGCCTATATTTTGAATGGATGAACAGTGGTCCTGCGCGCTATGATTTGTTCACAAGATGTCTTCATTTTCGTAACGTGCCCTGTCTGGTCACCAAATATACATTTTTGTCATTTGGATCGAGTTCTTACAATGTGTCATTTCTGGATAAAAGTTGATGCTAGGTAAAAAAAAAATTCTGCTGCGCGCAGATGCTATGTACATACGTACATACATACCGATTGCAAAGCTGACCACATGTCATCGCCAACTGCATTGCTGTAGGAATGTTGCTTTAGATATTTCTGCAATAACAAAAGAAACATTATTTTACATCGCTTGCCGCAAACAGCAAACTGAGAGGATTACATCGAAACGTTCCACAATTCATTCAGGTATTTTATTGCCGACGGCTTGTCAGACCCCAGGCAATACACAACACAACAATGTTGCCACGAGATGAACCAAAAATCCTAAAACATATGGTATGATTGAGAGTTCTAACAGACTGACACGACGCGTCCGTACCTGCATACCAGCAATGAAATTCTTCCTGTTTACACTTGGGAATGTATGCTTCAACATGTTCAACAGCGATGAACCTTTCTTGTACACGATATCATCAAAGGTGTCGATCGTTGGCTGAGGTACGGAGGTTATGACTGCACGAGTATTCACCAGTCCATCGAGGAACAATGCGTCACCCACGTTAGAATGAAGAAATAATTTATCCTGTGAAATAAACGATACAGCTAATGGACAATGATTACACCTGCGTACCTATTCCACGTCCTTCAATTTGGTCGCCATTTTTAAACAGGATTAAAACTATACCTTCCCGAGAAGGTTTAGTTAAACAAAGTTTGCTGAAAATCATTAAGTTAGCCGTGCGCACGGTCTGAACGACCACTAGTTATACTAAATAACATTTAAACAGGTTTAAAAGGTCGTGTGAACGAAGTATTAAAATATCAATCATGCAATTGCATAATACAAACTGTTCTTACCCTGTTCCATRAGCTAACAGAGGATGGCGATCCATCAAAATAATTAAAGTAATCAGCGAGTGCCTCGTTCAACCACAGATCATCCCACCATCTCATGGTGACAAGGTTGCCGAACCACTAGACAACGGAAAGAAAGTAAAATTCAAATATGCATGAACATTTGTGATATTAAATATTGTTCTTAATTTTTCTCTTAGCAATTCTTTCATCTCATTCCTAGACTATTCCCCCTTGGCTCTATTTTATTCAGTTCTGTCTATTATCCTTAATAAACTTTCCTCTCCTCGTCTGTCTTTGTCTTTCCCTTTTCTTCTATTCGCTTTTCCAGCTTTCTTACTCTCTTTTAATTCCTTTCCCTATTCTTACCATATGAGCTATCTCATGTGGCAGCCATCTCATTAAAAGATCCTGTTGAATTTCCTCAGAAGAGAATCCTTTCTTGTATAACAGACCATCCTCTTCAAAGCGAATAGAGCCCCAGTTTTCCATGGCAATATAACATTCCGGTGGGGCAACCAAATCTATAAACACATATACATATATATATATAGTTAATGCGCTTAATTGACATCAGGCAATAGATACCATTTCGTAGACAGCACTTGACCGGTAGCTTTTGTTTGTCATTGTGGACAAAGCAATTAAACAAAGCCTAGTCGAAACCCTCACTTTCGATGAAAAACAAATGTACTAATGTTACCTAGCTTAGTCATGGAGTATGGAATGCCAAAAACCTCTTCCAACTGTGTCAATGTCTCGTTGGCCATCTTTAAAGCAAAGTCCATTTGGTCAGTCTTGCCTGGCTGAGCAAAGGCTCTTATCTAGKAAAAACAAAACACGGAATAATACTAGCACTTTAAGGCAATGGTTTTATCAAGAGCATATGAACTAAGACAATAATCCCCGAGCCCCATCATGAGAGATATTTGATGCTATTTTTAGAATGTTTGTTGTGGTTTTTAGGATCATTTATTTGATCGTTTGTTTTTCTGCACTCGCGTACTGCGCGCGCTCTACTCTGCTCATGTTTTAATTCGTTAAAAAAATGAAATGTAGACAACGAAGAGCGCGAAGTATGGGCGTGCACAAAAGCAAAAGATGGCAAATGTGATTCTAAAAATAGTATCACACGGTGCCTATGATGGTTACAAGGCATGAATATCAGAGATTCCTTCTCTTAGCTTATTTTCTCTTGTTTCATTTAGTACCATTGGCGGCTCTATTGCCTTCAAACTATTGTTTCAAGTCGAGGCATTCGGGTCAACAATACAGTTAATGTATAGAAACTGGCCTGGATGACGTGACTTAAAACAATTATTCGTGGGTGACGGAATACAATGTCTCTTATATTCTCTATTGTTAACCGTACTTCCTTCGCATATATGAATGAAGGGATAGCATTATTCTATTGTTTACTGTATTGTCCAACACTTAAGTTTTGTTCTTTGTTTTGCTTCACTATTTCTTATCTATTTGATCCACCTACTTCAAGCATAAAGTGTTAGTGGTAAACCCACCTTTACACCATTCTTTGAGGTAATCTCTTTCGATTCAAAATGCCCCACTGCAATTGACACCAAATAGGTCTGCATTACAGGTGTCTTGTCAAAGAAGGTGGTTCTTGTAGACCCCTTGTCTTTCTTCTCCTTTGCGATGTTGTTGGATAAGGCCATCATGTCTATAGGGTGGGTAATGTCCACGGAGAAGGTTGCTTTCATGGCGGGCTCGTCAAAGCACGGAAACATCTTTCGTGCGTCCAGTGGCTCAAATTGCATTGAAACGAACGACCTAAAGTTGAAAGGGATTTGTATGAAAGTGTCGTTCTACAAAGACTTTGTCAAACACGATTCAGCCTGCTTTATTTCTGAGTTTCAAAGGAAGACTTGTAGTATCGACATACATGGGGTGTTGCATGGAATTACGGAGCTGTATTTTGGACGAACGAGGCCTCAAAATAGCCTCTCCAGCATAAAGCAATCTTTTGGCTAATCAAAGACAGGACAAGGCTAACGTTGTTTGAACCCTGAAACAATCTCTGGGCTTATCAAAGTCAGTGCACGAGTAACTCACAGATAAAACCCTGTAACTAAACCTCTGGGCTGATCTAAGTCAGGGCACGGCTAACTCACAGATTGAACCCTGAAACAACTCCTGGGCTGATCTAAGTCAGGGCATGGCTAACTCACAGATTGAACCCTGTATCTGGGTGGATCTAAGTCAAGGCACGGCCACACATGTCCAGCGTTGGTCTATGGTGTCCCCTGTCCCGGCTATAAATATAACTCACAGATCGAGAATCTACGGAATCTAGCTTGTTGATAAAAAAATAAAAGAATAAAAGAATAAAACAACAGCGAAGAAAATGAAAGAGAAACAGACACGTGGTCTGAAAAAGACAAAACATGTCAACACATTGAACTATGAATTAGATAAAGGGTATTACTTCTAACTATGCCATGTACTTACGCTTCTTTATTATCTTTGCTCCTATAGGTTCCTTTGAACAACCCAAAAAGTGATTTGCTATAAGTTCCTTTAAACTTTAACTCCAAGACGTAGGTCCCTGGTACTAGTGGTTCAGCGGTTTCTATCACGTGATAATGGTTTTTCGGAAAATCAAAATGTTTCTTTATCGTGCTTACATCTGGAAAAAAAAAAACATTTTAAAAATATGTTTGATACTTTTGCAAGCAAAGACCGTTATTACTGACAGTTGACCAAAACTGCAATCAAGCATTCTTTTACAAGTCATGCAATCCGGCGAGGTAAAGGAATCAATGCAACGATATAAACTGAGCAGTTTTAATGTTAATCCTGTAAGGAAAGAAAACGCATCTGACTGATACCTTTTATTGTGTAGTTGCTTATGATGCGAGGAAACATTCGCTATCATAGAAGTTTGCCTCGTGTACACTTAGTTACAAAATGATGGTCGGGGTTCATAACATAAAACGTAAAGGCTCAAAGATTTAACGATATTCTGAAATGACATAAGTCGATATAAAATATCTAATTACGTTAAAAAATCTTGGTGCTCTCTGTCAGTTCAACAATTTATGAATCTTATACGAGACATATGTATCACTAGATAAATCTAAATTAACGTACATCCCATCTACCATTTCCGTCTCATTTTTTGAACCTAGCAATGATTTTGCAATCTTGTGTAGATCGATACACACCTGTGGCACACACATACAAACTTAAAGCACCAGGAGGTAATGCGTCCAAGGGCAGCTAGCTAGCTAATTCAAATACTAACCTTTGTTTGAATTCTCTATTTTGACTTCTGTGACATCCAGGCCATTTGAATGCAGCAGCACGGTAGGCGTTTTCTTGATAACATTAATAACGATTTCCTCGCTTCCACTGAACCCATCGTTGTTGGGATCGACCAGCATATGTAGATCATAGTGTGTAGGGACAATGTAATCAGGAAGTCGTGTATTGGACCACACGCCTGTAGGTGAGGCTGATGATGGAGCAGGAGTTGTTAAGTTTCCTGGACCCTTTTCTTTAGCGACTGATCCACCGGGACTATCTGTGAGGAAAAGTATAGCTTGGTCGGTCTGTACGGGATAATCTTGAGCTCAGTCGGGTACAGACCTCGCTGCGCTCGGTCTGTACATTCCGACCTCGATCAAGATTATCCCGTACAGACCTCCCGCTCGGTTAATAAGATCTAAATATGATCAAACATGCTAAATTCAAATTATCAAGTTATTTAGCTGTCCTATCGCCTTGATCAGGCCAGAGAATATTTGTTTTGTGGTTGTGGTTGTTGTTTTGTTTTATTTTACAGTGCAATGCGCGTAACCGTGGCCACCCAATTTATTTTTTAACTAATGCAGTTAAATCCTTTCCTATCAAGTGTTTACATCAATTTTAAGACTTTTTACGAAAGGGTCCAACGTTAGCCCGCAAAGGGGTGAAAATAGTTATCACGTAGGCAAATTCCCGGCCATTCATTTAAGTTTTTGTTGCAAAGAGTAGTAAATGATTTTAATCATTGTTAGTGGTCTCATGATACCGGACGGCGACCGCGGGCAGATACTGAGTAGAACCGACCACTCAAACAGCAAATCAGAAGGCACGATTTTTTTAGAATAAATAAATGAAGGGAATGAAGCGTGATCTAAGATGAGCAAAATACGCCAATGATGTTAAAAAATATATATATAATAATAATAATAATATCATGCTCAAACCTGGTATTTTTAAAAAGACTGTTCCGCATTTTCATGCTTGTTTCAATTTACTGTTGCTAGTACTTTCGATTTTTTAAACGAGTACGCATGCGCAGACAGAAGGTTTAAAGCGCAGGATAACTGTAAAACGACTTACACTGAAAGTGATTAAGATATTTTGCTATTATGTGGGCTATTATTTCCACCATTCGACCTACTGTCATGGTATTGGGCTACGAAAGAGTCATATATCGTGTTTAGTCTATGGCGGTTTGGGTACTTAGTTTTGTTGAAATGGACCTATTTACCTTGGATATGATATTTCAGACCACAAGTTATGTCCAAGAGTTTAACGGCTGTACATGAGAAGCCACATGAATAGAGACCTTTAGATCCGACGACGACTGTACGAGAACGAGTTTGAGTGTTTAACTTTTAGAGAGGCACTGTCTTTGTAGTCGTGATCGTGTACGTAGATTGAAACTTTAGATTGTAAAAAATCGGAAATCGACTACGATCTAGTGTTAACCACGTGCATCAGGGACGGCGGAGCAGTTTTTTGATTGGGGGGTCTCAATAGTGACATTGTATGGCAAGGTGGGGGAGCTGAGTTTATTGAAAATGTATTAAAATTTCACAAAAAGTGGGGGGCTAAATATGGATCACAAATCGAACATATAATCTTATTCTAAAGAGAATTTCAAGTGGTATGAAATGGGAAAACATTACACCCAAGATATAGAAAGGTCCATTAACCAATCCGATTCGAGGTTGAAAAAAACCCTGGTCGGCTGGCATTGCAAAATTGTGTGAATGTTTTATGGAGCATATTTTCAAGATGGCGTCTGCTTCGTCACCTAAAACAATCCCACAATGCACTTCAATGTCAACTTGACCGAGTGTTTTTCCTCAGCCTCAGAATGGTTAATTAAACGCATTGATAGTCTCCCATACTGAAACAGCATGGCTATCTTAACCGTCTGATTTACAACAATAAACTGCAGAATAAATTAGTAAAGCAAAATATGCAAACTAAAAATAATGTTTGATTCTTAGTGACTGAAGCTTGAAAAATATTAATAATTAAAAATAATGGCACAGATAAAACTTTCAAACACTAAGTAGAAAAAAAGGGGGGAAAAATGCTGAAAAGTAGAATGAAAACTGACTAATGTTTTAGTGAAAACCCATTGCGTGACCTCCTACGCTGGTATTGCGTGACGGGTATTTGTTTTGGCTTTTTTTTTCAAAAACACCTCTTGATTTTAAAACAACATTTTCGAGTTTCTAATTGACTGATATATATTAAGATCGATACATATTTTGTAAGGAATTTTTCTCCTTTAGAAAAGTTTCCAATATGCGAATTTGTCAGATTTTTTTTTCAACCCTGAAGTCAAAAATACATGTAGTTTAATGCATACATTTTCACTTAAGTTTTCATAAAAAATTCATCAACAAGATTTCGAGTAGTCTCCAAGTACAGCTTCTATGTTGGTCCTTTTAAAAAAGTGTTAGCGGTAAGACACACTCAAGATTTATCAGGCAATCTTAGTAATATAGAGTATATCAAACATGTATCTTTATCTTTTATTTATGCTAGATGTGAGAAAAGACAGACAGGTTCCTTGCCGAGAAGCGAATGCATGGGAGATAGAGCGTCTAGTTCACCACGCTTCATTGTCGACAAAAATTATAACACTAAATTTTTACCATTCCTAAGCATAAGTATGTCACTCAATATATATGAATATATAATACAAACTATATATATAT